GCCGCCTGATTTTCCGATAATGTCAAGTCGGGGCACATTTTGTACTACTTTATGTAGACTCAAAGAACAAGGGACCTAAATGGCGAGGTTGTAGTGACCCATACCAACGCTTTCTCACACTACCAGTTAGACTCGTTACACGATATTACACTTACTCATTCCACGCAAAACTCGTATATGAACTCTTCTCATCTTGACATTAGAGCTACAGCTACATTTGCCTCAGCCACATATTGTCTTCCTATTGGCTCAACAGGAATAACCAATCACATCCAGGTAGGTCTTCCGACAAGAACCAATCAGACGCTGATATTTACTGGAGGGGCTTTTAAATACAGTACCAGTTTCCGTGACAACGCCGAACTTGGACGTCTCATAGATCTTAAAAAAACTCCTTTGTTGCTATTGGCCACCCAATGCGGCCGAGAGGAACATCGCTGAGCTTGTGACAGAAGTTATGTATGGAGTTAATTTTACGGTCGACTCTGTCGTGATTAAGTTCAAAGATCTTGCTCACCGGATCAATTTAGTGCATATTCCTCTTCTTTTGTGCCATATCTTAGCAGTTGGCTTTACCTGAATGGTGCTGAAATATTGAGCGTGTTCCTACTTTCGTTTTTCCCTGTGATTTGTTGGTTTTCCTTAACCAGCGTGTGGTTGCTCGTATGTTCGCGTCTATTTGTCTTTATCAGTATTAAAGCACGAAGTATTTTAGGAACTAGGCTCAAATAGCAAAAGGAAAGAAGTCTCCTTTTTGCTTTTTCTATTGTTCACTTTAGTGACCAACGCCTGAATTCTATCCTCCTCGGCGTACTCAAACTCCATAAGGACTAGGGAACATTAATTATTTTCTGCTGATAACTCACTTGTACATTCTTTTGCTATATACAAGTATATTTGACTTTAGCCTACTTAACTGTGGTGGGACTTTAGTTTGATCGTAGTCTTCTTTTATTATAAAAACTTGGCTTGGCTTCGTTTTCATAATTTGGCCTCCGTATAAGGGAAGCGAAGCACAATGTCCGGAATCCTCTCCTTTATTATTCATGATGATTTTTAGCATTGCTTCTTTGACTCAATTCATTCTTAA